CGGCCAGGCTCAACTCCATCCGCGAGATCGTGGCCCGCTGCCCGCTGGCCATGACCGAGGAGATTGCCCGGGACCTGGCTCGGTTTAAGACGTACCGCGACAAGGGCGTCATGACGGCGGCCAAGTCCCTGATCAACCTCCTGCGCGAGGTGAACCCCCTGCTGCTGCACAAGCGCGACCGCGGCAAGACCGCCCAGGAGAACATCAAGACCTTCCAGGCGCCGGTGTACGGTGACACCGGTGTCATGGACTTCGTGCCGGGCGCCGACCTGCTGGGCAACCTGTCGGACTTCGATGACGAGGACAACGACGCCGCGTGGGATGTCCAGTCGGAGTCGGACTCCGACTCGGACGACGGCGAGTGGATCGACGTCCACCACTCGGACGATGAGGACCACATTGTCCTGTCGTCGGATGGCGAGCTGGCCGGCGACAATGACGATGATGATGACGACGACGAGGAGGAGGATGCGGATCTGGCGCAGCTGCTGGGCAGCGCGGCCCGCAAGGCCAAGGCCGCGGCCAGCGAGCTGGATGCCCTCCTGGCCGTCGGGTCCGACGATGAGGACATCCTCCTCAGCGACGAGGAGCCCGGCGGCAAGGCCAAGGCCGCCAAGAAGAAGGCCGCCCCCTCGGCCGCCGACTCTGAGGTCAACCCGAAGAAGCGCCCGATCTCCCAGCTGATGGAGGCCAATCGCGTGCGTGTGCCCGCCCTGTCCCCTTCGCCCGGATGGGCGGTTCATGCCTGCCCGCCTGCCTGCCCGCCTCTCGGCCTGGGCATTCCTCTGTGCCCCATCGGCCTGCATGCCACTGACACTGACCCTTCGCGCCTGTCCCCCTCACGCGCCCAATGCAGATCCTCACCCCGGCCGACTTTGCGGCCATCAAGCAGCGCAAGGCCGAGGGCGACCTCGACGCGGCCACCGGCAAGAAGGCCAAGCGCCGGCGCAACACCGCCATCGAGTACGTTTCCGCCGCCGGCCGGCCGGCCGGCGACCCCCCGCCGCGCTTGGTTGCTGCCTTCCTTCCTGTTCTCCCCCCCCCCC